TGTATATTAATAAGATTAATATATTTTTTACATAAAATGACTATGTTCTCAGCTTTTTTGATGCAAAAACAACAACACAGAGGAAAAAAAGGAGAGACACACATCCATCTTGCTATCCTTATGAGGACTTCACACACACACAGCGCTCACAGCTTCTCTGCCTCATTCTGCTGCTCCCGTTTTTAACACCAGGCAAAAAATGCATTTAAATCAGCTGACGTTAACTTTAGATCACAGTTTGAAATGCTCCAGCATTTTTAAAMAGAAAAACAACACGGACACGCTGATTACAGTGCGGGGCGAAAGTGAAAGTAAAACATTGTGCTGAGCACCCGTTCGGTAAAGAAACTTAAACACAGCTGTTCTTTCTCCCCTCATATTCCGACACAGAGGGTAGAAACAGCTAAATTAGACAGTTAAAACACATTTACAGTTCATAACTCACCCTTGTTGTTGTAACATTCATCCTGTGTTGTCCACAAGCACTTTCCGCCCTGTTGTGGGTCCATTTCCTTGAAAAATGAAACTTAACCAGGCACTTCGAAGAAGCTCTGACGCTGGTAGTCTATGTAGATAATAATGTGGGTTTACACACCCCAGACCCGAACATTTTGACTTCTGAACTTGCATAATCGGCATGACGGTATGAACTACAAAACCACACAGCGAGAAAAAAAATGGCGGACCATGAAATCCAGTTGGCCAGAAATACATTGCCATACATGGTGGTTCAGAAGAAACAAGTGTGATGAAATAAACAATGAAACGAAATAAGTAACAGCAGATTTTGAACAAACTGAAAAATTTGACCCATAAAAAWATATAAAAATATCTTTGCAGTAACTGGACAGAATAAAYTAAAGTTTTCTACACTCCTAGACACTATAATTGCACAAAAAAATAGTTTATAAATGAAAAAAAAGTGCATTTAGCATGATATGTCTCCTTTAACTATAATAACCCTGGTGCAAACCACATGAAACCAGCGCAGTTTCATCTGTCTCCAAATGTTTGACATTTTTCTCTTTGTCTGAATGTCTCTAAACCTTCACGTTTCTCTTTATATCTTTCAAGTTTCTTCTGTATGTTTTTTTCATTTCAGGTATCCAAATGTTCAGCTCGTTCAGGACACTCCTGCTCTGATTATTGGTGTTACTTTTAAACTTAAAATCTAAAAATATTCAGCTTTTAAGCATTTTTTCCCCTCATTGAAATAGAATTAAATTCTGTGAAATCCTTAAAGAACTTACTGCTTTTTGAGCTTTGACAACTTTAGTGTACTTTCACCTAGAAAGGCAATTTCACCTTTAAATACAACTTCAAACATTTAGGTATAACAGAATGATTCAGGTTTCTGATATCTTAAACCGCTCTTGTAAAAGCAGCTTTTAAGTTTGTGAAAGTTTTGGTGTTTCTCTCCCGTTGTGCCATGTTCTGTAGTGATAGAAGGAATAGAAAGTTCAGATCTGAGCAGCTTGTGTTCAGCTTCTTCAGCAGGTTTCTGCATTTTCATTACATTTTGAAGGAAATGAAATTCATCTAAATCCAGTTTGATTCAGGATGACGTGTGTTGGTCTCACTGTACGGAGTGACGTCTATAAATAATGCACATAAAGAAAGGATCCATCTAAACTTTATGTAAAGTTTTTGTTTTTTTTACCAATTTGGATTGTATTTTTATTCTAATAAAACATGCACAGTATAAAAATTAGCTCTGACTGAATTTCCACCCAGACCTTTTATAATTTATTGTGTTATTAACATGAGGTTCACAGTCTGAGCCAATAAAACATGAGTTTTACCATCATCCCTCTGACAAATATATGTAAACAAATATATACAGGTGTTTGATAAACTTACAGCTCATCTGGACAGTTGATGGGCTGTGCTATTCTGTAGCCGTCCTTCAGGTAAGCAGACATCTCAAAGGGGTCGATGTCGACGTAGGGGGTCTGCCCCAAAGTCATGAGTTCCCACAACGTCACTCCAAAGGCCCACTGTGAAGATGTGGCACAGGATGATGACATCATTTATTAGTAGTTTCTCAGAGTGCTCAGCACATAAAGGCGTTTCTTCTGTCTTTATTTATTAGATAACCAGCAGGGCTGTGTTTTGGCAAGAATTTGGCGATATGATACATATCACAACACAGTAATCATGTTATGATATAGTATATATATGATATATTGTGATGCTGTAAGCAAGGTGATATATTTCCATATATTCCCCAAAAGACTTTAATTTTAACAAACTCAGTATAAAGAGCACAACATGTATTACATAAAAAAACTGATTAAAATAATTTATTTATATGGAATCCAAACACTGAACAATAAAATCTGCATTTGTGTTTCATATTTCTTCTTACATCCGTTCATTAAGTGGAAATCGATTCAGTGTTTTCATACATGTCAAGTTGTATGTATTGTCTGTAATTCACATAGATTTTCCATCATTTTGCAGGCATACGGACGTATAGAGCAATCTCACGGATTTTTTCAAGTTTTACAGATTTTTTTCAAAACCTCAGTTTCAAATTAATGTAACATGTCAGAGCCTGTAGGACGTAAAAAAACCTATAAATAACATCAAATAACCATCTTCCAACCTGCTCTGCTGCTGGAAATAAAACTAGAAATAAGCTCTCCACTTCTTCCGCTGTCCTTCCCTCCTGCTTTGCAGCAGCTGTCCTCTCTGCAGCCGACAGCACGTGAGACTGTGATGAAGTGATTCAACACAATCTGCTGGCTTCTTTAGATTGATTGTTTTTTTTTTTTTTGTATACAGTGCCCTGAGACGACAACTGTTATGACTGGGAACTATATAAATAAACTGAATTGATGTCATGGAACTTTAAATCCTACGTTAGAACCAACGATTTCATTTGCATGCCTTTTTTTAAATCTCAGTAGAACTCAATATAATGGTAAAATTGGGGTTTAAGGGTTATTCTGATGCACTGAATATTGAAATTGTGCCAAGAAATGGCACTGAAGCAGGTAAAAAACGTAAAACTAAACTCAGGTGGGCATTTGCAATGGTTGGAATTAAAGTACACAGAGTGCTTTTTGACAATTTTGTTGGGTTATAAGCAAAAAAATATTGGACGAATAATGTTCGTGAGGGATTGGGATGGAAGTGTCTTTCAGGGCAAACAGCTGCTGCTCCCAAACATCGAGGCCTAGACTACCGCAATCATTTCCAACCAGCTCTAAACATGCCAGCAGTGCCTCTCTCGTCACACCAAGTTTGGAATCTGACATGCGGAGGCCACGGCCACCAGGGTATGGAGTGTTTACGTGTGTCACGTTGATGCACTTGTGCAGATTTTCCACGAAGCCTAATTGTCTGTTTATGGCGGGCCTGTTAGCTGTTAGTGCCAGGGAGCAGCGTGACCATAAGAGGAATGTTGAGGAGAGGGACCGAGGGGGTGGGGGGTCTGGCTGGTGGAGGGGTAAGAGTCTCTAAGGATGTATTAGGCTTCATGAAAGTCTCTGTGGCGCCCACTCTGTTATCACCTCACAGGAAAGAGGGAAGGACCAGAAACACGTGATGCCCCTTAATGCACTTCCCATTCCTTTGAAACCAAGCTTTAGTATCTAAAATAGGCTCGAAGGCAATTAGCATCATTTCCTGGATTGCCATCTTAAAAATAAATGGTCTTGAGTGACAGGAAATGCTACATCTGTTGCTGTGTTTCTCACCACGTCACTTGCACTGGAGAAGTCGTTGTTGAGCAGGCTTTCCAGGGCCATCCAGCGGACAGGTCGATTCTCATTATCGCCCAGACAGTGGTAGTCCATAGGAAACAGATCCCGAGCGAGGGCATTGTCTGTAATCTTTACCTGCATGTTGTCGTCAATGCTGCCAGAAGGGGGACAAGGGAGAGAAAAGGTGGGCTTACTAGGTTAGGGAGCAAATTAAAAATCTAAACCACCCGAAATCTACGAAGAGAGGCACGCTGGGCTGGGCCAGAGACACTTACACACAGTTCCGAGCAGCAAGGTCTTTGTGTATGACCTCCCTGCGGGCCAGGTAGCTCATTCCGCATGCAATCTGGATGGCCATGTAAACCAGGTCCTGCTGAGAGACGGCCTGGGAGGAAATGGGAGCGACGGAGCAAAAATGAGCAGAGGAAAGGGACAGGAAAAACAAAAAGCATAGAAGGGAGTTCAGATTAACTGGTGTGACTTTGCTGTGGTGAAATGTGTCATCTGTGTCCAAGTTCTTGTTTCCTTTGAGCTGGGTCAAAGACAGGAGTTAACGCACATAAAGGCTATTTCTGTCTTTATTTTTGATGGTAAAACTGCTGAGCTGAAAAATCTGTTGAAGCTAACAGGAACTGCCTGGAAAAAAGGGTACTTCAAGCATTTCAGAATGTAATTTATAAAAATTTTATATGATCCTACCATATCTAAAACCTCAGTGCCTTTAGGTATTAAATGAAGAAATGTCATTTTATTCCCATCTAAACTTTTCTTTAAAATGAAACACGAGTTAGGCTCCAGTCACACTGTCTGATAATCCTTCCACAACATAAGAAAACATGTATTTGCAGGGTCAAGGCAAGGTCTTTGCGGGGGTTTCTGACAGGAACTCAGTGTAGAGTTTGAGCATGACCAAAACTTCTGAGCGAGGTCGTGTTGGTTTATAATCATGGTGTCAGCATATCGAGGTCTGTGTGAAACATGATGCTAGTGTGTCCACAATGTGGGGCCTGCATACACCGACATGGTTTCATAATTGTTGATAATCTGAAGCGTGACTGACCACGCTGCCTTCATGCCTTGGCTGCAACCCCATTATACCCACAACAAGTTGGACGGACTCCAAAGAAAACTGTTGGTGGCATGGCTATGCACCTTTTGTACCATTTCTACTTTGTTAAAACCAAGATGGGCCACTAAATAATGTGGCGCACTCAAACATCATTTTAGATGCTCGTTCTCAAGATCAGGTCTTTGAGATGAGGAAGGAATAGAGATGGATATGGTTGGGGTCTGCATAAACAAGTCTTTGGCTGTGTCCAAATCCAGAGGCAAGGTCCTCCGAAGGCCAAATTTGTCGGCCGCTTACATCACAGCGCCACGCCAGAGGCTGTCCAAATCTGGACTCCTCTGATGCAGCCAACAAATGCGCCCTTTTGTTGCCCCAAATTAAAGGACAGGTCCGATGAATCATTCCCGGCCCACCATATCCCATAATGCATTGTGGGCCGACCAAAGATTTTTTTCTGCAAGTAATGGCAAACGAAGCGAGAGAAAAGAACATGTTTTAAATAAAAATAATTTGTGTTGTTAATACTTTTATCATCTGTATAGACGTTTTAAATATTATTCTTGTCAGAAATAAAACAAGCTGGTATAGCGAAATAAACATGCACCTACAGCCAGTTCTTCAAATATTGTCTAAGTTAGTTTTATTGTTTTGTGATATTATTAACGCCAATATATTAATATTTTTCTAATTTTGATCTAATTTTGCTTCTCTTTAGCGTTGTCACGTTTGCTAGGAGACAGGACATACACCAGGGTAAGGATGGGAGGCTAGACTGTGCAAATTCACAGCCCCCTTTGTCCGATCCTTGCATTTTACCAAGGACCTGGCCCACCTAGACTGGGTTGGCCAGGTCCATCGGATGACCCAGCCTCTGAATTTGGACACAACCTTTACGCAATGACTCAAACCGGCCTATGTCTCATGCGTTTGGGCCTTCTCCTCAGCAGGACCAACTGAACTTGGAGGATGACGTTTTGACAATGAAGATGTGTCAGAAGTGTTAAAACTTAACTATTTTTATTGAAGTGATAGACTTATAAGGTATGAAAATGCTGAATTATATTTCTTTCTCCAGAAAGAAGCTGTCAGAAAGAAGCTGGGCACGTAGCGTGGCTACAAAAGTCCTGCCTCAGATGGTATAGTTTTTTTCTAATATAACAAAGAAGCAGGACCAAATTAAATGCTAACCAATTACCACCACCAGCATCAAAATGTCAGGTTGTTTTGTTTACAGTTGTTCAAACCAGTATTCACAAGACGGACTTAAATTTTACTGCGTACCGAGGGGCAATCAACCATTTCAGAGCCACAAAAGACAGCTGTGGTTTCAGACCATGAAACGGGTGAATTGGACTGGCACCCCTATGACCCTGCACAGTATCTCCACTCAGCCGATCAGTTGCTCCTTAAAGTACAGAGGACTACGCGAACTCTCAGAGGGGATCGAGCATTTTCTGTTACTGGTCTGAAACTCTGGAATGAGCTACCCCAACACATCAGGCAGGCCTCCTCATTGCCCATTTTAAAAACAAATCTTAAAACGTATTTTTATTCACTGGCTTTTAACCTAGCAGGAGACCTTAGTCTGTTTTTAGCAGTTTTTTATTGTTTATTTGTTTTATGGTTTTTGGCCCTCAGCACTTTGTCAGCAGCCGCTGTTTTAAAATGCTTTATGTACTGTTTATAGAGTTGACTGATTGATTGATCGATTGATTGATTGATTTAGGACGCTATGATATAAGGCTGTGTCACACTATGACGTTTTAGACAATTTATGCCAACTTATGAAAAGTTTGGAGAACTCTAAGTTAAAGATGGAATTTTTAAAAATCAACTGGAAGCCCCTCTTAGGTGTGTACATACTGTACTGCTGACAAATTGATCAAATATCTAACTTTTATTTGTAATTTGGTGGAATGTTTTTGGCATAAGTTGTCTAAAATGTTATAGTGTTACAGGGTCTTATGGTAAGTTTGTGTGAAATATATATATATATATATATATAT